TTTTTTGTTTGTTTGTTTGTGCAGTAGGCAAATTTGTTGTGCTCATTTTCACTCTAAGTAAAGTGGTTAAGCTAATCTGAAAAAAACTTCGTTAAATTTTTCCTTTTTTTTAATACAAGTGATAAAGTACAAAAATAAAACCCATGTTGTGATATGGGATGATCTTTCCAGATTTTGAGAAATATACTTATCATTTTACTTTCTGAGAGTGAGATGTTCACGTGCATATTTGATGGAAAGCTACAACATTTTTTCAGTTGAAATATTTTCCAAAATATATTTATGGAGAGGTGCTATCAAGGCCATCTGTGACCCAGACTCATTGAGCAGCCTGGCACAGATATTTACTTGTAGGGCTCTGTTCTCCTGCCAGGGCAGTTTCTGCAGTTTTACTCAAACGTATGTCTACTTTTTTTTCCTTGAGGATGTCCAGCTGTTCGCCGATGCAGCCCCTTCAGTAAGTTTTGGGGGATCTGTGATACCAAGTGGTTCTCTGCTTCCTGACCTCCTGAACTAATTCAGTTCTTTTGAAGGCCCTGCCATCCTTCCTTTGCCACTTATGAGATCTACAGTACTCCATCCTTATTGCCTTATAGCCACCCTCCGCTGGCGGACATGAGTGGACAGGTAAATCTGTCTTCGTTCACAGCAACAATATATTTCTAGTCAGACCAAAGAGACTCTGACAACATCATGCCTTTCATAAGCCCTTTTACTTTGATAGCTGTCACTCGCCGGTTCATCATCTGAGTCATCCACATTACTTCAATGCTGTTGTCAGTTCTCTTCAAGCATTGGTCCATTTCCATTTTCTGCCATGGTCTTCAATGTCTGAACCCCAAATAGCTGCTCTCAGAACCATGTCCTATAATGCTATATTAAACAGTATTAGGTAGATACAGAATTGACGTATTATCATACAAGAGCATATACAAGTTATTATTGAATCAATATATGAATCACCTTTAATTTCAAGTCTGCTATCAGTCAGTGTTTTTAGGTGTGTACTGCTATCTGCAGAAGTACATGTATCACCAAACCAAAGATGCTGTTACTGTAAGTACACTAAATACACCTGAACTATAATCATGACATTTGTTTTGCTTTGGCTCCTCTCTTGCTGAGGGTTAAATCTTTCCACTTTGGTTGATAAAATGAGTTGTTTTTCTTTACACAATGGCTGTTTGAACTGTTGAGACAATGAAAAGAAAGGCTGCATCTTTGTTCTGTGTGATTGAAGCCTCTCCAGGGGAGTATAGTGACATTTTCTTCTTGTATGTCAGTGTCACCTTGAACACTGATGGGTGACAGACAAGTCTGACTCTAAGATGATATAAAGTGAAGATAGGAAGCAGGTGGTGGAGGAAGATGTATCACATAGGCACACATAAGTGGAAAGAATAGAAACAGCTGAGCTTCTATAATGAAGCCATGACCCTCTGTACACCCTCTGAAGGTTGCAGCAGGCTTTCAAACTCTACAAACCCGGTCCTGTTTAATCATAATGTCTCTGACTTCCTCCAAAGTGCACCTTTCCTAGAGGTAGGACGGCGCTTTAAAGTATGGTTTTATATGCTGCTAATGTCTTTACACTGAAATTACACACACTAGTTAGTGAAGTTGTTGGTTGAGCCACAGTATGGTCCGGTTCAGTCACAGGAGCATTAGTGAGATCCAACACTTTACTCTGGTGTCTGGCCTGCTGTCAGTATTCCAGTTCATCCTAAAACTGTTAGATGAGGTGGAGGTCAGTGCTCTGTGTAGACCAGTCCAGATTTTTGTCACCAAACAGGGGAAACCATTTCCTTATGGAGCTGGCTTTATGCCTGGGTGCATTGTAATGTTGAAACAGGAAAATGACAAACACAAAGTGGGAAACACATAATTGTCTAAAATATAACTGTATGGTTCTGTCAAGAACAGCATCTCAGCCATACTCAGTGTGGTAGGGCTGAGTCTGTGGATGTGATTACACTAGGCTGATTCTTAAGAAGGGAATTACATGTGTTAGAATCATCAATTAATAGCATCAATACACATGAACACATTAATATTAAGGCCTGTCCATAATGATAATCAATAAACTCACTGATAACTTTCTGTCAAGACTCTGGAGTAGACAAGAGTTTAGGGGAATTTCTGTCACACTGTATCTAAATAAGTTCATGACTAAACATGGATTCAAAAAGTTACTAAAATCCATAGGACTGTTTTCATGAATTGGGGCTTGGATCAGATGGCTTACAATGGTTTTGCATAACTCTGACAGACCAATACAGGTTTTGTGGAGAAAGTGATCAACAGAAAAATGCCATGGGTTGTATGCTCCAACATCTTAAACGACCCATTTTTGGGGTCAATGCAAGAAAAGAAGTAGTGTAAGAGTTTTCTATCAGCCAGACTTCAGTTTATCACAGCTGGATTTTTTCATTGTCTATCTATCTATCGTTTTACCACTTTCTGCTTCAACCTTGACCTAGTGTACTGTATTTATTGTTGTGCACACAGTTTTTTGTTTGTTTGTTTGTGCAGTAGGCAAATTTGTTGTGCTCATTTTCACTCTAAGTAAAGTGGTTAAGCTAATCTGAAAAAAACTTCGTTAAATTTTTCCTTTTTTTTAATACAAGTGATAAAGTACAAAAATAAAACCCATGTTGTGATATGGGATGATCTTTCCAGATTTTGAGAAATATACTTATCATTTTACTTTCTGAGAGTGAGATGTTCACGTGCATATTTGATGGAAAGCTACAACATTTTTTCAGTTGAAATATTTTCCAAAATATATTTATGGAGAGGTGCTATCAAGGCCATCTGTGACCCAGACTCATTGAGCAGCCTGGCACAGATATTTACTTGTAGGGCTCTGTTCTCCTGCCAGGGCAGTTTCTGCAGTTTTACTCAAACGTATGTCTACTTTTTTTTCCCACATTGGTGTGTTTGGTATTTACCTGCCATAAATTCAGCTCAATTCAATTTTATTTGTATAGTGCCAATTCAACACAAAAATTATCTCAGGATACTATACATAGAGAAAAACTCAGCAAATCCCCTTTGAGCAAACACTTGGTGACAGACCCAGCAGGTAAAGTCAGTCTGACCTCACTATGTGTTGTTGTCACTGTCAAGTTAGTTTCTTCAAACGAAAACAAGTTTCACACAGACTACCTTGGGGATATACAGATGTAGGCATTCAAAGTGTCATATTTTTTCACCGTATCTGTGTTGACTTTGACAGACAATGTGGTGGATATAAAATTGTCTGTAGATTTTATCAGCAACAATATTGTCAGTTTGGGGTCATTAAAACACAATAGCCCAAACTATAGGACAGAATGGAGGTTTATAGGTTTTAATGTGATTAATTGTAGAATCAAAAAATGAAAACACTCAGAAGAGGTTTCTAGACTACAGGGTGATCACTGGTTTCTAACCAGCCAAGCCAAAGGGGAGGTGGGGGGGTCCTGTGGAAGTAGATCCCCACCCCTAAGCTTGGAGGGAGCACAAACCACATCTCAAGCGCTACACAGCTTTCAGCAATAGAGAGCGTGTAGACACAGATTTGTAAGTGCAAATACAGATTTGAGAGCATAATCCAGGCCACATGTGCTGTCATTTCTGATTCTGTGCTCTAAGGCTTCTCCACTGAGGTTTATGTGAAATGTTTGTCCACAAGTACCCAATAGGTGGCTACATTCAACACAGCTATGTAGCACTGTGTTTAGTGCTTCTTGCTAATACAGCTCCCTCTCTTCATTTACTATATAGCTCACTTGACCACTGCTGTGCTCTCTCTCTCTCTCATGGCATATATTTTGGGAAAGCAGTGAAATGTGGGCATAACGATAAAAAGAACCTAATATCGCTAGCTAGTACAGAGTATATTTTGAACAGGTACAGAGGAGACAGCAGCATGAACCGACGCTGAATGGCTGGAAATTGCACTGACACCGAGCTGTGATTTCTTTTGTTCTAAGTGACAGTGTGGCAGTTAAGTTCTGAGGATTTGTTTCTTGGGTTCTCTGGTGCTGAAAAGATGTAGAAAAAATCATCTGGACTTGGTTTTACGTAGAAGACATTTCAACTCTCATCCAATTATGTTTTTGAATCTTGAACCTGAATCTTTGAAGAGCCTTCATCAGTTCTGTCCGACTGGTGTTGAGCAGGAGGTATTTATTCCCCTAGAAGGTGTTTCAGCCCTTTGCGAAGGATCTTTTGCAACCACAATATCCCAGTCAACTTTAAGCCAGGGAACACCCTGCAGCAGAGACTGGTCCACCCGAAGGACTAAACATCCAGATGCAGGGATGTGGTGCAATTAAGTATCATCAGGAGTGTAACGACGATACATTGGTGAAACTAAGCAGCCGCTGCACAAACACATGGCCCAACACAGGAGGGCCAACTCCGGTGGACCAGAGTCAGCAGTCCACCTCCACCTGAAGGACAAAGGACTTTCTTTTGAGGACAGTGAAGTTCAGATCCTCTTCAGAGAACATTGCTGGTTTGAGAGAGGAGTCAAGGAAACTATTTTTGTCCAAATAGAACACCCCTCACTAAATAGGGGTGGTGGACTAAGACACAACTTGTCATCCATCTACAACTCTGTTTTGAGTTGTAGGGGATTTGTAGTTGCAGTTCGATTTCTTATTTTTTGTACACGTTCAGAGACCTCCCGTGACTGTGTGCTTAGTTACCTGGGATAGGGGCTTGTTTTGAACCTGCTCACCCCTACACCTGACAAAATTACTATAATTTATTTGTTAAAGACACTTTTCTAAATTCATGACCAAATTTTAATAGTTGTTAAGGCTAAATTAAATAAAAACTTTAAAAAAGAAAGAAAGAATGTGGGAAGAACATTTCATTGTGCTGGAAGATACATGGAAAAAACACTATTGCAGAGATCAGTTTTGTTAGCTCATGTGTTCTGTTACATTGTCATGCCACCTTATGATATGCCTGTTCCAAAGTCTCCTGTTGTGCCATTCCTCTGGCAGCTTCTGGAGGCTGGTGCTGATAGCAGTCCACAGAGAAAGAGGAGACAGAGCCAGGACTTCCTACAGCCCTATATCGCTGCCAAGCTAGATGATCTGCCCGACATCTTTACTCTGGGTGATGAGAAGAAATACAAGGGTTACTACAACAAACCCCTCCCAGGCCAGCAGCAATATCGCTGCTTTGTCCTCGCTGACCTGACGGACCACGAGGCTGTGAGTGACCTTTCTATACAGTACATTTACAAGGATGTGAAATCACAATGCTTTCAATATATACAGTATGTTAAGATTCAGTGGAGAACAGAATGAATGAACAGCATGCAAACTTTTTTCTGAGCGGACATTTTAGCAACAATGTATCATTTTCACAGTTTAAAGGAAACTCATGAGGACATTGTATTTATCGCTTCCAGTGCAGCCAGATGTACAGAACAAGTCCTATAAAATTTTATATTTGTTATAAAATGCTTTGTCATTCCTAGTCTTTTGCTGTGCACTATTATAGTTTATTCTTCATTTCAAAATGCTTTTTACCACTGTTACTGTGTGAGTCTTTGTATATGTATCCTATTTTTAGTACAGGAGGAATATACAGCATTACCAGACTGAAAGCTGAAAGGGTCCTAAACCTGAGCTGAGTGGTCACAGTATGGTGCATCTGTAGGTAGATACAGTGTCTCAAGCAGTGAAGCCATGATTCATGCTGTCACTCAGAAGCCTGTGGCTTCCAGACCATAGCATCTTCTAATGCCTTTCTAATTTCAAGTGCTTTTGTTTCTCAGATCAGTCATTTGCCCACAGAGTATCACAATTTAAATTTGTAAAGATATGGCGGAGGGGTCGAGAACGGCAGATGTCACTTCTGGCTTATAATATTTAAGTTGTCATAATGTTCGCAGGACTCCAGGAGCTACCAATTCAACTGCTAACAGAGTGCTGAATAATTTTTAAAGCAAATGCCAGTGTACCATGTTGTTTGGAGGTACATTATTGGATTACTTGTCCATGTACAATTAAAACACACACTCACACACTGATCAAGCAGGCCAGAGCAGAAAAGACATACTGCCGTTAAATGTCCCCACAGGGTCCACCTGGACAGGTCTCTAGTCTATCATAGAGCTGGCATGTAGACAAACAACCACTCAACCTAAGCTGCATGTCTTTGGACTGTGGGAGGAAGCCGGAGTATCTGGAGAGAACCCACGCAGGCACAGGGAGAACATGCAGACTCCACACAGACAGGCACCAGAGCAGGCAGGGCTCAAACCTGGAATCTTCTTGCTATGAGATGACAGTACTAACCACTGTTCTGCTGTACCGCCATGTGGGGTTCATCTTATTTAAAGAAAAGTTCTCTGAAAACTAAGAATGCTAGACATAACAGTGCATGAAGGCTGGCTGGTGGCTCACTGGTATGTTTTAATAGTTTGCTACCTGTTAAATGATGCTACCTCTTTCTGGAAGAAAGTAACTAGTTGCCACACTGAGTGGTGAACTGGTTTTGGAGTAAGGGGATGGCTCTAATCCTTCAATTTCTGCTAGATCTGTGCAAATTTGGGGAGGTATGGACTTGGCCTTGATAATTAGCACCATTTACTGTAGCTATCAGGTCATTTATCACTGTGTGTTGCTTATGTGGCCTCTGCCCTGCACCTTGTGTGTGGAGCTAAGCCCCGCACTCAGTCAGACAGACACACAACTCATATTATCATGGGCAATCTATCAAGGGAATATCCGTTTGTTAAGCAGTGACATAACACTGCAGTGATAATTCCATTTCTGGGTTCAAACTTCGGTTCATTGTCCTCAATTCATTATGCCACAGTGTTGTGTTCGCCATTGTTTAAACAGAGCTGAATCAAAAATCTGTAGTCCACTGTCATTTTACTGCCATCCTTGTGATGAAAATGAGAAAAAGTAATGTTTGCGGTTGATTAGGTAAGTCACAGTATTCTGAAGTGAATACTTAATTCTTATATAACAGTATTCTGAAATGAATGAAATAAAACTTCTAAAAGTATGCTGTTTTACTGCCTCATTGTACTTAGCTATTTAGCATGAACTTAACAAAAACACAGGCAAACATCTGTGAAGTGGTACCATAATTTGTTTTACTTCTGACTTTAGTTCCTGTTGCACCTCAGCTCCTGGAATTTCATCAAAGATGGTTAGTAATTTATCTGCATAGAGATTGGTCTCATAATTTTTGCATCTCTTTCTGTTCCTTTTAGCATATGAAACCAGGTTAGAATGGATCAATTGTAGTTAATTCAGTTAAAGTAACATTCAAACAAAAAACACGGCCATTACATGCCCTTACTGTGCAGCACCTCAGTTCAATTTGTTTCCCATCAATACAGCTTTTGTGAACTGGACAATACTTATTTCACTGTGTTAGGGACACAGCAGCAGAGCCCTGATTCAGCAAATGAGACTCAGGTGAATGTGCTTCAACCCTGTGCAAAAATAGAAAGCTAATCACATTGAAAACAGGGGAAGTAGGCAAAGCTTTTATTGGTACTGCAGAGCCACTGGCAGGATAGAGGCAAGAGGAGAAGGAGAAAGTAGGGAGTAAAAATAAGGGGGCTGGAAACAGAAGCAAAGGGGCACTGTGGCCCCCATCGCTGGCTAACAAGCTGGGATGTGTGGAAGTGGATGCCCATATAAACAGTGTGGTCACTAACAGCAGAGGAATGAGGGGGGAATGCAAAGCTTCGTGGAAGTGATGGAGAGCGGGGAGGGGGAGAGAGAAAAGAGAGGGAGTTTAATAGGAGGAGGATGGGGCTAGGGGCACATGAGGGAAATGCAGAGATATACTTGAGAAGGTGAGAAATGATGCAGTCATTGGAGAGAGAATGGCACAGATGCTGGAATGAGTTTCTGAAGTAGGAGGAAAGAAGGATGGCAGCACAGAGAGGACTGGGGACTGTGGGAAACACACTGAGCCTACTGGATTGCATCCAGTTTGTCACAGACAGATAAGTTGTGAACAGAAAGAGCCGACTGAGGTGGAAATCTTTGGAGATCTGGGAAATAAAAGATATGTCAAAATACATTAGCATCACACATCATTTCTGCTTATTTTATCAGTGGCTTCCTTTTTTAAGAAATATTCTAGACATTTGAAACAATGGCAATATGTTCATCCTCCCACTGCTATTTAAGTGACTTTTCTTCTTTGCACAAACACCTCCTCTCTCCAACTTGCAAATGGAACACCAGCACATTTTTCACCCCTGAAGATTAGCGGGTAACGCTGCTGAGATTGATCACTTCCAAACTTCCCCCAGGAGATTTTTTAAATATCTCTTAGAATATGCTCCTGCAGCATATAAAAGCCGTGAAAACTGTCATTTTTCAAAAAAAAGGTTTTCCAAGCCTTAGACAGTACTTTGCTAAAAGTGCCAAAAAGTACCACTGAAAAAGAAGGAAGCTGAAATAGCTGAGGAGACAGATGAACATGTCATCAAGCTCCACACCTTTTAGCTGTTAAGGTTTCAAAGTTCATTCTGTGCATGGTTCATAACTGAGTTGGGAAAGTTGGCTATGCAGAGTGCTTGGGATTGTCAGAAGCTGCATGGCAGAGTGTGTCTGTGTGTGTGTGTGTGTGTGTGTGACTAGGGAGGGACACCCAATGAAAGGAAAACATTTCAATATCTTAAGTAGTGTGTTTGTTGGTGAACAAACTTCACTTTATCCAGGGTAAACTTGGCCACATTCTAATGTCGTGTCTCAAGTATAAGAATTCAAGACTAGATTTAAAAATATGTGCAACATTCTTTTTCTTCTAATGAAATGAAATACAATTTCATGCCAAAATTATGTTATTTACAGTAAGTAAATGATTGTGGCTATGGTGCGAACTATGGGGGAGCTCGGTCCCCTTAAAAAGACACGTGCTCCCCTGAAAACATGATTTGCTAAACTTTGGTGGGTCAATATGGACAAAATGTTATTTTTCCATAGAGGCTATTTCTGTTGTTCTGCACCTTTATCATCATGGATCATATGTAAAATTATGCTATTATTGATTATCATTGATGTATAATTCACGCATAAGGGTGAGTCAGCACTAATTCATTTTAATAAAGATACCAGCTTGCATGCAATTCTTGCCATCACCACTGAAGCGTGGTGCCACAGTAAACTTCACTTTAAGGCGAACATCAACCAAAATATGTCTCCTGATCATATTAGCAGTAGCGCCCATGTGTGCTGTGTTTTGCTCAAAAAAAAAAAAAAGAAATGAAATCTTGGCTGAGATGGCAAAATCAACACAGCTTAAATGTTTTGCTGAGCGAGCTGGAGGTGAGTTAGAAATAAAGAAATGAGGAGGCTAGTGTGAGCTAATGCTACAAGTGGTTGTGACGGTTCCCTGATCAGAATTCAATCGCTGTTGCACCCACACTATAGGATTCCAAGTCATAAATATCAAACATGCTTGATACTTATGATTCAAAATGGGAAGCATAACAATTAGGTCGTTCAACACCTCTCACTGCAGGATCATTTGGCCCAAGAGTTGCTTCTGACTGGCCCCACATCAGGGAACGCCCCCATGATTGTCAGGAAGGACAAATTGGGCCCAAAATTGGGCTAATTACCCTGCCGTGTGGGGCCAGCTTTAGTTTTCTGACAAAAATGCATGCTTGTCAAATTTTAATCTTTTGATTTGTTACTTTTAGTCAATGAAAACTATAAACATTTTAATCAGTGTTTTCTTGCACTTTTGATGTTTATACTGTCTCTTCAAAATATTTTGAGGCTCCAGATGTCACCATCTTTGTTGGTGGAAAAGGCTGTTCATTTGTCGACACACAGGGTTTTCCCATTATACAAACCCAAACAGAGACCACCACAGAGAAAATACAGTGGGAAAACAAAGCAGGATAGTCTGCAACAGCCCTGGAGGCAGTTACGAGTAGGACGGGGTGTACTGCTCGTTAGGTTCCAACAGTGGGAACACAGCAGCGGCATCCACGATGTCTGTATGCCTCTGCTCTGCATGATCTGGAGTCACTCACATTGTGACTGAAATGCTGTTCATTGGGTTTAGTGTGAGAGGAGATCCTCAGTTGTTGGATAAATTAAATACAGTGAAATTTCTGTAGAGAACAATAATGCCCACATTACTTCCTACCTTTTGACCTTTTGATAGCAACATAAAGATATCGGACTATAAGTAATTTTAGCATAAATATACTGGTGTG